AATGTATTTAGGTTTGACTTCAGAAAAAATAGTTTACCTTTGATTTAAAAAAAAAAAGACCAATATGAGAGGTCAAACAGCAATCTGGGAAAGATATTAGTAGCCAAGATGATGGACAAAAGGTCTATATTTTCACTACATCTATATTCTCTGCAATTCAGTTAGAAAACACTGAGTTCCCAGTACTAGATAAATATGAGTGGGACATAGAGACAATTGATGAGCATGGAAAAATATCCAACTTATTCTTTTAGTCAAGGTAATTTGAATTGAATTAAAACAGATACAATTTGTTGCCTATTGAAGAAGTAGAGATTTTTTTTAAGTAGAGATTATTAATTTATTTAATCTTTATTATGCTAAGTAACTGTATTTTTTTTTTTTTGTGAAGAGGATCAGTCCTGAGCTAACATCCGATGCCAATTCTCCTCTTTTTCACTGAGGAAGATTGGCCCTGGGCTAATATCCACTCCCTTCTTCTTCTACTTTATATGGGATGCCACCGCAGCATGGATTGACAAGCAGTGCGTCGGTCAGAGCCTGGGATCCAAACTTGCAAACCCCTGCCGAACCCAGCCGCTGCAGCGGAGCACGCGCACTTAACCACTGCGCCGCCAGGCCGGCCCTGAGATTTTTTTTTTTTTAAAGTGAAATGGGAACATTGTACATTACTGGTAGCAGTGCAGCACTATCCTTTTGGAAAGCAATTTTGCAGTCAATTTCTTATGATGATGATGACGATGATGAAAATGATAATGACAACAACTAACTTTTATAGCATTTTCTGTGTGTCCTGCACTGTTCTAAGCATTTTACATGTTTTAATTAATACTCCCAATATCCTATAAGGTAGGAACTTTAATTATCCTTATTTTACAGATGAGAAATTGAGGCACAGAAAAGGTAACTTGCTCAAGATCACATAAATAAGCTAGTAATTGGTGGAGACATGACTCAAAACCACTAGTCCTACCTTGGGGATTTTTTCCTCATTAAGTCTTCTGAAAATTTGGTGGGGGGGCAAATTTACCCATAAGAGATACTATTTGCACCATTGTGTCCCCTCCTTTTTTGACACATTGGCATTTTTTTTCATGCTGTTCTCTCTGTTTGAATATCCTTTCTCACCTTCTCTGGTTTGAAACAGGTGTCATTTCCCCCAGCAGCATTGCCTGACCCCGTTCAGTCTTGATCTTCCCATCTCTCATTCCCTTCTGCCACCTTCCTGATTGGATGTCCTATGTGTTCCATAGCATCCACTTAACCAAATTTTTTCTCAAATGTTCTGGCTACTTGTCTTTCCCTGCACACTTGTCCTACTGCTGATTTGACAGCAGGGACGGTGTTTATTTTATTTTTGTAGCCCTAGTGCCTAGTACAATGCCACATATTAGGCTTTTTCCTTTCCTTGTTAACATTTTCTTATTTTACAAAATCTTTTCAAATTAACAGAACTTCATCATTGTAATCATTATAAATATAGTGAATAACACAATTAAACATGATTGAGTTATTAAAGTCCACGTAGGATCAAGTTTCAACCAATTTAAATGTATTCTTTTTAACACTTTAAAATGTATTATTTGGCATTATTATTCAGTGGGGCTTTGTTCTTTTGTTTGTTGTTGTTAATATGCTATCTCACTTTGGCAAAAAAAAAAAGAATCCATATCTAAAAGATAGGACTCCACCTAGTTTTCTCTTGCTTAATGAACTTCCCCTTCCAAGGTCAATTCATAAGACTGACCATGAATCAAACTTCTAGAATTTTTCAATTTTGGGTTTGATTTTGCTTTTCATGGTACTGATTTTAGCCAAGATCTCTCTTTGAGATTGCAAAGCAATTTGATTTTTCCTTTAAAAAAGTACAGTGCTTGATTTTTTGTTTGTTTTTAGAGTTACTACGGGAGAAATGGTTTCATGGAGTTATTGCTTAGAGTATTTTTCCCCCAACAGACACAAATGTTTCTGCTAAATTTTTATCCTCATAATCTATATTTTAAATAATGGCTTATTATCACTGTATCTTAGACTTTGAAAGGTTAGCTGCTGTTGTGCTCAAGGTCAGGGATCATCTTTTTTGGTGTCAAGTTTATTGTGGCTGACTCAGAGACAACACCACATCTCTTACTTGGATTGGTTTCAGATGGCTTTGGACTTCCCTAAGTATCAAGATTATTCCAAAAACTCACTACAGTATTTTTAACTGCCAATCTTATTTCCAATTGAAAACATAATTTAAACATTATTGCATTTTAAAGACAGATGAAGAACGATGCAAAAATTACAAACCTTAGAATTTTCAGTACTTTTGGGTTATCATAGAACAAAGTGTCATAGGGAAAGTAAAACCTAGTGTGGTCCTTTTTTAGAAAAAGAAAACAGTTGATAAATTGACCTGATTTCTGGGAGCCAATGCTATTTTGTGAAAAAAAATTATTAATCTCCAGTTTTGTGGGCCTCCATCCACTTGCTAAGGAGTTAGAAATTCCAGCACATTTACTTTGGTATTAGCCATATAAATCAGTGATGGCTGTGGATTTTGGTAATTTATATAGTCTTAATTTTTATGCAATTGAATATTAATTAATTAGTTAAAGCGTACACATTATCTTACAAGGGTTAGGGACATAAGTGACCTGAAACAAGTCAACAGTATTGATTTAGCTGTTTGATAGCTCTATCTTGTCTTTTTTTCACAGTTCAACAACAGCAACTGATCAGCTGGACCCAGTTAGTTAAGGTCTCTTAAGATTTTTCTAAAGTAGATTCTTTTGTTTTATGTGTATCCCTCCTCATAGTAAGATTAAAACAGCAATGAATGCATACTCATGTCAACTTGGACAATGTGGTAATAATTAGTACAGGTAGGATAGATTAGATGTAGATATGAACTATTTGCAAAAACGTCAAACAAAGGTATTCCAAATTAACTCTGGAAACCAGTCTCAATGATTGCCCATAGCCTAGATAGCTTAACAAGAGTTTATTCTGTGCTCTGTACTGATTAGTTTGTATTCTTTATTAGGAAAGTTGACCCGGAACTAGTTATGCTCGTTTCCCAGCTGCCTCCGGCTGACTTATCTATTAGGCACAGCAGGCACATTATGAAGGACCCATGATACTCTTAGGGGCCCGTGAAATGTTTTAATTTCTTTTAAAATCAGAAGGAAAAAATGGATATGATCCAGCCTGGACTATATTTGTCTTTATATTAACACAGTAGTAAAATAGAATTTTAAATATTTTTTTATGGAGGAAGGGGTCCACGAAGGTAAAAGTGCCTAGGGCCCCGTGAAAGTCACAATGCACACCTGCAGCTACATAAGACTATCTTCTTCCCATTGTCTATAGATGCTACTGTTTAAAATTTTCTCCTTTAATTCAACAGTCCATATGCTTTTCTCTTTGTTTTTTTGTCCTCTGCAATTCAGAGCTGTCTGTGTACATTGAAGGAATTACACGTTGGAGTTTGGGTTTTGAGTGTATACGTTGGAGATCAGTTCACTACATTGGGGAACACGAATATTGACATCATTACCTCCAAGGCCCTGTACTCACTAACATTACTACATCATAGTATACTGTTAGGCTTATCCATATTTGATGATCTTTAGATTAATAACATTTTAAAGTAAAATAGGGTCAAACGTAAACTACACTCAGATGTGCTAAAAATAAATTGGATTCCTAATTTTTTGGTAACTGTTCTCATCTTGCTTGAAGCCCCCATTCCCATGGTGGAGAAAGGAGTCCGATTACAAAGACACTTCAGCTAGCCAGTTATAAAGATAATTCTCTCTATTTGGGCTTAGTGGTATCTTTCAGATAAATGTTCAGTCCCTCAGAGCTTCTCCTTTCTTCTTATTCCCTAAAGCATTTGGATTAATGACTTTAAACTTCCCTTGGAGAGGGTATTCCTGCCCCTTTCTTTGGTAGACTCTGTTCACTTAGAGATGAGGGGGGTAAGGAGACATGTGGCAGGTCAAGGAGGTTGGCAGTGGTGAGGGCTAATACTCTTTCTGCTTAGACTCCTCCATCAACTATTATGTAGCAGAAGTCGCCTATATATGTAAAGAACATTTAAAGTTTAGAAATAAGCCATCTTTTTTCTCTCTACAAAGTGTGATTTTCAAGACTCAAAAAAATTAGCTTGGGGACTTGAATCTGAAAATGATATTTTAATTTTAGGCTGTATTTTCTTCCTCTCTTAGAGCAATAGGACACATGTTTTGGCCTTAATAGCCAAAGAGGGTTAGTAAAAGAAACACGCTTAAGGATAAGAGAAGATGCCTGAATAAGTAGCCCAATGTAAACAGTGTTATCATAGCATAGTGGTAAGAGGATAGGCTTTCAAGTTAGATAAAACAGGGGTGAAACCCCAGTTCCCCCATTTATTAGCTCTGTCATCTTAAGAATGTTATTTAACATCTCTGAGACTTGGTTTCCTCATCTGTAAAATGGGTAATTAAGTTTTTTAAAACGACTGTTAAGTTAGCTAATATATGTAAAGTATTGTATACTTTACACATAACAAACATGTAAGTGGTAGTAATTAAACGGACTTCAGAATTCTTTTGCAAAGGAAAAAAAATAAACTTGACATTGAATAGGAGGCTAGTGCTGTTTGGGTTGTTATATATGGATATTTCAAGTTCCAAGGAAAGAGACATGTTCCTGATATTCCCCCTAATAGAATTCCTTATAAAGATACGTGAGGAAAGAAAGAACAGAAGAAGGTAGGGAGTAAGGGAGTCCAGGAATCACAGAAGTCAGTGAGGTCTGCCTGTGTGGTAATCCAACTGTGAGTCCAGTCTCTGTGCTCTGAAAGAGCCTGTCTAACATAGAAACGCACACTGAAAAATCAGTTCCCTCTAGTTCATCGGTATTGCTAATAAAATCAAGTACAGTAGCAGAGTAAGATTGAACTGATTCATGTTATTTTAATGAATAAATGAGAGGTGGTGAGGTGATCTTGATTTTCCCCCCTCTGCACTCAGGTGGTGAGTGGAAAACTCGATATGAGACACAGCTTGAACTGAATGATCAACTGCGAAAGCAAATTGTTTATCTCAAAGAGAAAATGGAAAAACTCCGTGGAAACCCTTCAGGTACAGAAGGAACTATATATATGTTTTATATGTTGAGTTAAAACTGATGAAATATCAATTCTTCATATTTGCTTTATTGTAGATATACTATCTTCTATTCGTGTGTATGAACAAATGCCAGTGGTAAGTAAAAGATGGGTAAACAAAAAGAATAATTAAAGGAAAGTATGTACATTCTTCCCCCAGAGAGGTTCCAAAGAAAAGTTTAAAGACTGTGGCAAGGTCCAAATAAAATATTTGTTCAGTGGAGCTCTTCCTAGGATGTGAGGAATCCTGTAACAAGGCCTTCACCTTAAATCGCCCCATTATAAATCTGGGCAGAGATCCTCTCGCAGGTGCAAAGTGGAATAAAAAGAATCTTAATAGTCAGGCTGGGTGGAAATAGAATGTGTCTATTCCTTGCAACCCAAAGGAAACTATTTAACACACAAATACGTGTCTTATACCTATCTAAAAACATTTCCATTCTAGTTCCTCTGGAATACATATACACACATATGCATATATGCACACACATACATTCACATACACACACACGTATAATATGTATAAAATCCAACAACAGAGAACCCATAAATTTTCCCTATAATATGAAACCTCACTGGGCCACTCCACTTACTTTTTCTTTTGGTTGTCCTAGTTATATTTTTCCTCCTTTGAGAGTTAATTTTAATCCCTGATAAGTTAGTTAAATTTATGTGTTTTATACTATACAAGGCACATTCATTTGTTTTGTAGTCATTCAAATATTTATCTTTTAAAATGTAGAGAAGGCTCAAAGCATTACTTATACTGGGTCCAGAACATGCTTAGAAATAGCCTTTTCCTCAGAACTCTTGCTGAATTTTTATTTCAAGAATACTCACAAAAACCTGGAAATCTTATAAAAAATAAAATGTACTTTATATGAAAATGAAAATTCAATAGTTAAATTGGCAGGACTTAACATTACACTAATAATAATAATTTGCCCTTAATTAAATGTATATAGTATGCAAATTAATTTCATGTCCATTATCTCAGCTTCCAACAACCTCGTGAGATAAAATTTAATATTATTCCTTTTGATACATGTGACACTAAGCTTAAAGAGATTCAGGGATTTGCTCAGAAGCACGCCGTCTGGAAATATAGAGCCAGATTCTCTCCCTCTAAAAAAACCTTTGCCCATTTGACTACACCATGCTGCGCCAACAGCCCTTCTCTCCTGCTTATCAGAAATAACGTGTTGTTTACCAGCTGTAGGTAGAGCACTAAGCTGACTGCTGTATTCACAGGTCCTGAGAACCAGAGCGTTTTTGGAGATTGCTTTTTGAATAACTGCAAATCTTCAGTGAAAGATATAGAAAGATCTTGTATTTTTGTTAATAATGAATCAGGGGAAGAAATAAGCCTTTTTCCACACCTCTTTGTTATTTTTTATTTTCAACCCAGAAACACCTTTATTTCTATGTGCGGAAAGTCAGGAAAATAACATTTATTTTGTTTTGTTTTTTAATTGAAAAATTGTAGTTTTTTTTTTCGTCTGCCATGGAGTCATATCCCCATCTTGTGGTATTTAGAAATTGCTGCAAGGGCTATTTTATGCTTAATGTTTCTTAATATAGGTAGAATTTTAATACTACCTATAGAATATAAAATACTACCTACAGAATATAAAACATTCTGGCTGCTTCCTTCTAGATAACCCACCCCCAGTCCTAGCTGAAGAAATTGAGTATCACTGGCCTCAGTGCTGGTGTGACACAGTAAAATACTTTATAGTAGATCTAAGAAGCATTTAGTCAGTTTTCTGTCACCTCAGGCTCTGTAACATGTTCATGTTGGCAAAAAATATATTTATTTCCTTTGATGAGTTTGTGTTATTTTTGAAGAAAATGTGGTTCTCTAAGAGGTTTAGATCTGGAGGCAAAGAATTAAATTTCTCTTCAGTAAAGGACTAAAGAAATAGAAGAACTAAGAGTGGGGCCACATACCAGGAAGAAAGGAAAGATAATGAAAGTTCAGGCTCTTGAGGAACTGGTCCTCTCCATTCTCTGGGCAGATGCCCTGCATGAGTGTTTGGGTTTTCTTACACAGTGGAATCCAGGAGGGTTTTTCGGAACAGCAGGGGTGAAGAGTCTAGCCAGGGACTTGGTGATGGAAGCTGCCAGCTACTGAGCAAAAAGTACTAGGATCCAAGAATCCCATATGCAGTCAAGAAATCTCTCTCATCCAAGGACAAAAGACGTATTGTCTTATTCTTTATATAAAAGTATTCGTGAAACTCAGACATGTACTATTTGTGTAATGCAAACACTTCTGGTTTTCTAGGACTTAAATTAGTTGTTTTTGTGGGATAGAGTATAAATTCAAACCCTGTTTGTAAATTTACTGAATTCTTTATCCTTGTTGTAGATTGTATAGTCTTTGGGAGTAACCTATACAGACATACTTAAGAAATTGATGTCAGATAGTTTGAATACTAATTTTGAGTAACTTCAGATTACAGGTTTGCTAGTGGGCAACAAAAGGGATGAACACTAATTTTTAACCAAAGTATGTGTAATATTTGAAAATGTTATGAAATTGAAAAAGAAATATGAAATGTTAAGTTATTTTCAACCTGGATCACTAAAGTGGACTAGATTTTAATATTTTAGAAAAAACTATTCACTTAAGTGAGAGTGAGGTTCTAGTCCTTGTTCTGATACAGACTAGCTTCAATCCTTCAACCTTTTTGAAGATTACTTTTCTTATCTGAAGGTAGTATGATTAGATCACCTTTAAAGTAGCGTTCAGTGGTAAAATTAGTTAAAATCTAATTTTAGCAAGATGAAACCAACAGTTAAGGGTTACATTTCGCTGCCTGTAAGAGAAAGGCTTAAACAAGTAAGTTGTTGTTTTCTTTCATGTAACAGAAAGTGTTAGAGGTATGCAGTCCAGGGTTGGTGCAGGGGCTCTGTAATCCCCTCAGGAATCCAGGCTCCTCCTGACTTTCGCTCTGCCATCCTTTAATGAGTGGCTTTTGTTTCTATGCTCACAAGATGGCTGCTTCCTCTTCTCACTTGCTTCACATTCCCATTCAAAGAAAGAAGTAGCAGAAGGGCAAAGGGCAAAGGTGAAGACTAGTCAAATCTGCTTCCTTTCAAAGAGCTTTCCAATGTGCTGCACCCAGCAATCTCCCTTTACATCTCATTGGTTAGAACTGTATCAGATGGCCCCCTGTATTTGCAAGAAAGGCTGAGAAATGTAGTGTTTTACTGAGCACAGTAGGAAGAAGGGGAGAATGGATGCAATTAGTGCTATCTGTGATAAAGTCATTTAAAATGAATACCATTTTATTTTAAAGTAATATGTATTTATTTAATATTAGTTGGAAAATAAAAGACAAAGAAAAATAATATTAAGTCAAACATATCACTGACTTCATTTTTAGTAAATTTTTATGTGCATATATATTGATTAAAAAGAACAGGTCAATAAATAAATCAGCCAAAAAAAAAAAGAACAAACAAACGACTGCACTTTAAAAAAATATGTAATTGTAACCTTACTTCATGGACAATTTTGTATTCTATACTAATCATGGAGAATTAAATCAATTATTTCTTATATTTTCTTCAGGTACATTTTTAAGGGCTATATTATATCCCATTGCATTGGATTATTAATGTTCAATTACTTTTCCCTATAGTTGAGTATTTTAGGTTATTTCTGTTTTTAATTTTAAATAAAACCAAACACACAAAGAATAATATGGCAAACAATATATTCTAGTATTAGCAAATCTTCAGATTTTTGTCACTTTTTGACTTCAATGTTTTAATGAAAACAATTTATAGACAGAGTTGAGGTCCCTTTTGTTCCTCTCCCTGTATCCTTCCGTTTACTTCCTCTTTATAGGCAAGACTATCATGGATTTGGTATACATCATTCCGGTTTATTTTTTTTTTATTTTTTATTTTTTTAAAGATTTTATTTATTTATTTATTTTCCCCCCAAAGCCCCAGTGGATAGTTGTATGTCATAGCTGCACATCCTTCTAGTTGCTGTATGTGGGACACAGCCTCAGCATGGCTGGAGAAGCAGTGCGTTGGGGCGCGCCCAGGATCTGAACCCGGGCCACCAGCAGCGGAGCGCAAGCACCTAACCACTAAGCCACAGGGCCAGCCCATTCCAGTTTATTTTTAAATACCTTTCTACATATGTTGTGTCTAAAAATGCAAATAAAAATATTATACTGTACATATCATTCTTTTTTTTTTAATAATTTTATTTATTTATTTATTTTATTCCCCCAAAGCCCCAGTAGATAGTTGTATGTCATAGCTGCATATCCTTCTAGTTGCTGTATGTGGGACGCGGCCTCAGCATGGCGGGAGAAGCGGTGCGTCGGTGCACACCCGGGATCCGAACCCGGGCCGCCAGCAGCAGAGCGCACGCACTTAACCGCTAAGCCACGGGGCCGGCCCTATATCATTCTTTTATTTGTTTTTTTATTCTATCCATTTTTTTTTTTTAAATGATGGCTTCTTTTTTTTATAATTTTATTTATTTATTTTTCCCCCAAAGCGCCAGTAGATAGTTGTATGTCATAGCTGCACATCCTTCTAGTTGCTGTATGTGGGACGCGGCCTCAGCGTGGCGGGAGAAGCGGTGCGTCGGTGCGTGCCCGGGATCCGAACCCGGGCCGCCAGCAGCGGAGCGCGCGCACTTAACCGCTAAGCCACAGGGCCGGCCCAATCCACGTTAATACTTAAAGATCTAATGAATTTTATCTGCTGTATAGTCTTCCATTGTATGTATATATCCTAATTTATTTATTTATTCCCCTCTTTATGTATGTTGAGGATTTTTCAAAATCTCACCATGACAAACATTGTCATAGGGAACATCCTTATACGTGTCTCCTGCTACAAAGCGTTCCTCTGGGGTTGGCTAACTTTTCTGTAGAGGGCTAGATAGTAAATATTTTTGGCCTCACAGGCCATACTATCTCTGTTGCACTTCTCAACTCTGCTGTTGTAGTGCAAAAGGAGCCACAGACAATACCTAAATGAACAGATGGGGCTGTATTTGAACAAATCTTGGCTTACAAAAACAGGCCGTGGCTGGATTTGGTCTTCAGGCTGAAATAATTT